TTAATACTATATATATTTGTATTACCTTCACTTCTTCTCGCGCTTGTTCAATAAAACTTCGTTGAACTGTTAACTCCTTATTATCTATCTTAAACTTTGTTGGGTTTTTTTCTACGATACGTATAAATAAATATATATGTAAGTTAAGAATAATATAGAACACATAGAGTATAATTTGAAATACGCGCCAAAACCGATCGGGAAATAATTTCAACTCAACGTCCTACCGTTATATCTAACTTATTTTTGAAGAAATGAAAGTATAAAAGTATTAAATGGTAATTCCGCTGAGCTAAACAATTGTAATACCAACAACACAAGTTACGATGCGCTATGTATCGGAGGCATACATATTAAAGGATATAGATTGTATCTTCCAGATCATCGAGATCCCATTCAATCGAACGTAGAGCTTTCCGTAATTCTGTAGTAGTCCACTCTAATTCGTCACGTGAGATGGGGATTCCTCCACTCGTTGGACTCGTGACAATAACATCTTGCAATTCTGTCCAGCGTCCATATAAACCGCGATTTTTATTTAGCGCTTTACAGACTTCGCTAAAATAGGAAAAATAAAATTGAAAATAATATATAGTAAAAACAATAGTTATTTGATAAAAACAACGTATTATTTCTTTTTTAAAATGAATTACTCCATAATTAATGTCATGTCTTTAATAAATTTCTGTTAGTAACATATGCTCTTATAAATACGAACTTTATATAAATCCTATAAACATCTTATGCAAGTATTATGTAATCACAGAAATATTTTATTAAATATGAGATAATGTTACTTTTTTAATAGAACTTCTTTCTTCTTAAACTGAATAACATTATTTTCATTATGTACACAATAATAACCATCCATGGTAACCTGGCAGTAGTTGTTGAATGCGTCGTCGCGACTCGATAAATTATCGTGTTTTGATTTTTAAAAATATCGATTGATCATTCGCTATCACTTTATACGAGAAATATTCATGTCAGATAAGTAAAAAATGGCGAATTATATAAATAAAAATATATCTACAAATAAAATTAATACATTGGTATTACTATGTTATACACTGAAATATATAGTTAACACTTTTATGAAATATTGAATAATACTTTAAATTAATAAAATTGAAAAAGTAACACTAAGTCTTGCGAAAAGGTTTATCGATATTTCTGATAAAAAAAGTGAATAAAATAAGTGAACAAATGTATGAAAAAAAAAGATAAGATTTGAAATATCTACAATTGAGGCGTATTATGATAAGATTTAAATTTTTTTCAAAACATGTACCAATAATTATTGTATAAGCCTAAATGTAGTTGAAAACCTTTAAAAGTAAGGTTTCTTTGTAATTCAGCTCACAACTGTTCTTAAGAGATCGATGTGTATGTACAACAATATCACAAGAGATAACAAAAGTTCGAATTTGACAATCGTATGAATTTCTCAATATTGATACAGTCGTATTATAAACAACTTGTGCAATTGCTGAAATAGTGTTTGAAATTGTTGTGGCAGGAGAAAATTTTTACTTACTCCTTGACGACAAAGAACGGATTCTCCAGCGTCATTCCTTCTTTTAATTTAAAGAGGTGGCCTTTCTCGCCGCCTCACGGCAACCACAGAAATACGTATGAACGATTTGTCGATCATCGGTAGAAATTCCGAGCGATCTTAATAGAAGCACCGATACTCACGGGAATGATGACAATAATCGAATTGACACTTGCTCGCGCTTCAAAGTGTTATGCTACCACGACGTCGTGGTGTATTGTGACGTCTGCTTCGACTCTTCCTGCAGACGACTATTTATTCGATTTTAATGTTCGTGCGCAAACACGCCTCTCTAAGAGCCACTATGATATTGATTTCGCGACGATAGACTTAAAGCATAGTTCACAGTCACTCAACAGTGAACAGATTAATAAGCGGAACGTTAATAAAATGTAAATTACAAACACTAAGATATTATCTTTAATTCTATTTTATGTAAATCTATCGATAGAGTTTGAATTTGAATGCTACCTATTTTTTTATTACAATTATTTCTTCATTTGAAACAGTTTCCTATCTACAGTGTTTGACCATTGCTTGAGTAACAAGGGAGTCGTTGTTCGCGCGCTAAAATTTTAAAAATGTATTAATATGTAGTTAAAAAATGTTATTAAATATATATTTAATTTAATTCACGCATATTATATTCCCTAATCATATATACGTACTAATATAAATAATAGTATAATCATTTAATTTTTAATTTTTCAAGTACTATATTGTACATATTAAAATTATAAATTTTAATTTGTTTCATAATTATCTGTAATTTCATTTAAATATTTTATTTGATATAATAACTATATCTCTCTAAATTTATGAGATTATATCGAGTTAAAATATTTTGAACTATGCGTTTTGTTGTCACCGATTGTAATATATACAATTTCGCGGTAATCTTTTAAAAACGAACTAGTGAAAGACTACATTTAAATGTAACATATCTGTGTAATGTGAATGTGCTACGTTAAAAATTTTGCTGTACTTATTTGAAGATTTTTATTTAGAAAAACAGTGACCTAGACTGATACTTGAGACTTGTAAGTTAAAAATTCTGTATTATAATTCTATATATTTACATCGGATATACATAACCTCTTTCTTGACGTGTCTATAAATGGAGGTGTCAGATACATTATCAATTTATTTGCAATAACAGTTTATTTTACTATATATATTTTTACAACTCACATGTTGTTGCAATGGTATGTTGACTTATATAGCAGGTGTTCTATGAAAACTAGAAAACATAATATTTACAAAGCTAACATTAGTATATGAACAATTTATGCATGAAAAGTTCGTTTCTGACATTCCTTTGTTTCGTATATTCTATAAAACATAAATGCATACGTGTTATATTATTATTTTATGTTGGAGTATTTTTTAAATTTACACAGAAAACTATATTTAAAATATTCAATATGACAGTAGTTTTAAATAAGTGAAATCTTTTTATAAATATCATATTTCTGAAAATACTTCTAAGAGTAACATACTTTGTGAAATTTTCTTTGAGATTTTGTTAATCTTTTTACCAAGCCAATAAGTGTGCAATGAATTATATAACAAATTTTAGATTAACAATTATTATATATATATACATATATATATAATAAGCTTGCCTGCAAAGAATGTTTTCATAGGCATTAAATATGTCTCTGGGATAACATGATATAGTACCTTCCATAAAATAAAGTTTGTTTGTTTTTAAATATAAATTACATTGATTTTAACAAATACCCTCTTCATCTTCGTCATCTTCTTCTTTTGCATCTTTTGAGAGCGCTAGTTGTTCTAAGTCTTTCTGAACAGTATCTTCTGATGGTTTCTGAGTGGTATTTTCTGGTACATTATTACTTGTGCTCTAAACAGTTATTTAAATTATAAATTATAATAATCTTATTGTCCAAGTTATATCATAATACTTTTTACATAGAACATTAAGAATGCACGAATAACGTACTTGGCCGTCATTAGCAGTTTCATCCAATAACTTTGTCGCATTAGGAGATGAATATGACTCAGCTGCATTTGCCCTAACTCCTGGTGGAGGTATAGCATATTGTTGTTGTGGTAGAGGTAAACCTCTAGCAAGCTTTGCATATTCAACATCCATATGCTTTATAAAAGGGCTGCTTAAAGCTGCTTTTGCAGCATCTGCATCCTCATTGTCATAGGCCTCTAATAGCGTTTCTAGTGTGTGAACCTAAGCATAAATACATTTAAGGTTAGTTAATAAATTTATAATTTTTGAAACATGTACTCAGTACCTCTGGAGCTTCACAATAATTTCCCCACTCCTTAAAAGCCTTTTCAGCTGCTACTTGATCACCTCGAGCTAACTGAACTAATACCAATGCTACTGTTAATCTTCCCACAGATGGTGCATGATCTATTTGTTGATGCATTCCAATTTCACTGCGGATTGCATCTGCAGCCTCATCGTACATTTGCAATTTTACTAATAATCTTGCCACTTTGCTCATGTACTCTGCTGCTTGGCGTGGACTATCCTCAGCCTTCATTTAAAAAAAAATTGCACAACTTACAATTGTATTTTCACTATTTATATAAAGTAATTTCTTACCATTGCTATATTAGCAGCTCTCTTAAACAGTTCTAATGCTTGTTGTGGTTGAGTAGCCTCCACTATCTTTCCTGCTTTATCCAGTACACTTGCACCAGAATCAGGTGACCCATGCACTTGATATAAGCAACATGCACTGTGTGCCAATTTTGGTACTTCTGAAATGTCTCCCATTTCTTTGCATATTAACATAGCTTGTTCGATATTCCTAAAATTTTTAATTTGATATTATCTGTAAAATATAATATAACTCAAATTTTAAAGAACTTACTTTGCAGCATGGAACCATCTTTTATACAATTGAAGTTAAGGAATAAATAACTCTAATATATGTGCAAAAGAAATAATAATAGTTTTAAATATTTTAATACAAAAAAATAAGTATAAAAAGGATACGATCTATTTTCTTTATAACAATCAGCAGATTTCATCAAACATTCTTTGCATTGTTCATAGGACTTTGCTATCCTGAAGCAAGTTGCTAAAATAAAAAATAAAGAACAAATGTTAAATATAATTAATATATTTAATACATATGTATTGTACATTTTACCTGCACTCGTATATTCATCGGCCGCAACTTCGAAGTCACGTCTCCATTTTAACAGAGATGTTTTTAAGCTGCAACATACATTTACCTTATGTCAAACGAATCTTTAGAAATTAAGTGATTCTTACTTCACTAAAAATACATATTATCGATTTCATATAAAAATTGTACGAACATCGAAGTAATTGTTGACATAATGTTTTACGAAGTGTCATTTTGCAGTGACAGTACCTTTTCTCAGCTTGCCGTATATGAGCATTTCCTTCTTCGATTTTTGACATTCTTTTCCGAATGGTGTTTTCGTTAAGTGCCTTTGAATTCGATAAATGTGATAGCGAAGCTGTCAGATCGGGGGGCAAATTGATTTGGAATGTCACTTGACAACTGACGACAGATTTTTCAGACTATCTTAGACAAGATTTGTCAATGTATACTGCTGAATACAATACTTGTTCACCCCACTCTTACCTTGCAAGAAACGTTATGAAAAACGGCATTCCCATCTATGATACAAATCTATGCTACCAGGTATAAACTCGTTTGAATATCCAATTTTTAATTAAAAAAAATCCCTCTCTTTTTACATTGATAACAATAGTAATGTAAAAAATAATGATATTCTGAATATACTATTATGAAGAACATCTCATCTTATAAATGGAAATTCCATTTCTTCTGGTGTTTTTCGGAACACAATATGGTGTGAATAAATACGTAAGCATTGTGTTCACTAGAGTATGTTTTAATTATTTTAAATATTCCTATAAAATATGCAATGGAACATTGCAAAGGTTTTGTTATCTTATCAATATTGTATGACTGTCAACTTCATAATCATATCACTATATTTATTATTAACTGTGTATTCAGCAGTAGTAGTAAATATATTTATGAATATTCAAATCTTTGCAAATCATTAAATTATTGTTCATTTAAAACACAAATTAAAGTCAGAAAAACGTATACAGATTGAGGTGCAATTGAACTTAAATGCGAGAAAATTTGTTTAATTTATGAACCTTTATAATATTAAACATTAAACGATACTTTTTAAGTCCTATTTTAATAGAAAGTCCCGTTTTAATAGAAAGCTATATTTTATTTTATTTCTAAAAAACAATTTTAAAATTAATGTATATTAGGTGAAGTATATATAATGAGCTTGAAGAGATTTAGTTTCTAGATTATATGATGAGCGCAGTAATATACCATTAGTAAAGTAACTAGGTACCTACATACATAACTAGGAATGCAATATTGAAGTATAGTGACAATACAATTTATGAGTGATATTTTTGGCTTTAAATCAAACACGTATTTGTTGATATTTCTTATTGACGTTTAATGACACAAGTACTAGTGACCAATTTTTGGATTTGTACGATATTTTAGTAATATATTTATATTGGTATTATTATTATACATTGTTTACAATTTGTTTCGTATGTATTCGCAATTGGATGTGTTGGCGGGAAATAAGGAAGATTTTATCAAAAGTCATTAACTTTTCATTTTAATACACATTTAATTTACTTTATCATATTGACAAGTTTGTTTACACAACAGTTTTATAACAAGGTAATTCATTTAATAATTTTACGTTTTTGTAATCTTCTACGTTCTTTATACACGCTGAAGCATAACCTTATAACATGAAACCATATACAAACAACTTCGTTTGTTTTAGAAATTATATTATCAATGATTTTACGTTTCTATAGAAAAAAATAGTTAAGAAATCCAATGGCAGAACGACTTGAAGATCTCAATTTACCAAATGCTGTTGTAACAAGAATTATAAAGGAAGCTTTACCAGAAGGAGTTACAATTGCTAAAGATGCTAGAACAGCTGTAGCAAAAGCATCTTCAATTTTTATATTATATTTAACATCCTCCGCAAATATAATTGCGAAAAAAGGAAATCGAAAAACAATAAGTGGCCAAGATGTAATTCAGGCAATGAACGATATTGAATTTGATCAGTTTATTGATCCATTGCAAGAATCGTTAGAAAATTTCCGTAAAGCTCAAAAGGAAAAGAAAGATGCAACATCAAAGAAAAAGCAACAGAAAAAAGATGAAGATGATGTGATAGAAGAAGAAGACGGAGGCAGGGAAGTTATGGTTTTTTGATATGTATTAAATATTATTATGTATAAAAGTGAAAACAAAAATTCTACACTAATTCACCTATTTTACATAAATAATACATAAGTCTAAAATGTTTGTCATATCTTATTTATTACTACTAAATAAAAGATAAAATATATTAGTACAAAAATATTCTTACCATTATAAACAATGTTCATTTATTTAATAAACTTTCTTTGATGCTTATTTTTGTAAAAAACCTAGACTGATAAACATTATTTAAAACATTTTATACGTATTTTGTTTTATTTTAACAATTTTTTCATGAACAATACACATAAGTCAATAAAATGTCGATACTTTATTAGTGGACATTTTTAAGATACTGCATTTATATAAGAAAGTTCTTTATAAAAATTCACTTCTATCACTTATAAAAGCTTGTTTGCTAACTTGCCTTTTGCATTATTAACTCTCAACCACTTTTAACCGATTAAAATGTTTCTTATGATATTTGTAAGGCTATTACATATGTGGATATGTCAGTGACTGTTTTATATAAAAATTGATATTTGTAGTTAAGTGTTAATAAATGCAATTTGATCTATCAGGTTCCTTTAAAATATTTGGTATATTTTATATATAAAACAAACAATTAAAATCATTTTTAAATACGATGATAATATATCACTAATATAAAGTAATATTATTATGGCACAGATATACCCAAAAAGCTAAGGTTTTTAAATCAATATACCTAATATGATAATACTGTCTTTAAAAAAATTATTTAAATAAAAATTTCGAAGAGAACGTAAAAATAAAACATGAAAAAAAGTATGCAACTTGAATTGTGAATGAATCATCATTTTTTAATTGGTTATTGATAATTTAACAAAAAAATTCTTTCAAATGAAAGTTTATTGGTATCCAACGAAGAATATTTTATACAAACAAATCTTTCATTTAAAACGTTTTTTGTTACATTATCAGAACCAGCTCAAATGTTATAGTATTCATTTATGTCCCACACTGTATAATTAAAAAGCAGTTGCATCAGATAAGTGTAAATTCATATTTTTGAAGGAATGTTTGTTTTGTAAATGGGAATAGCTAACATATGTGAATATACTATCATACTTAGTTATCTTCGTACAAATTCTTAAACAGTAAACGTATATTATCGATAACAAAATATTAAGAATAAGTAAACTAAGTAAAGTTATATACAAAAAGCATTATTCACGTTTCAAGGCTTTACAATATGAACTTTGCATTCTATAACACTTCTACACATTGGACAACCTGATGAAACCATATTTGCACAACCTGAACAGCAACAGAGATGTCCACATGGTAGAAAAATTACTTCACACTATAAGAAGTACAGGGTCATATATAAAATTCAATAATACTTGATTTTATTATACGAATATCTAACTGATATGAAAATTGTGCTTACTTGTAAATCAAGGCAAATTACACATTCAGCTGTATTAATACTCTGAATGGCGTTATGTTCTTGGTAATTGGAACTCGTGCACGCTTCGTCAGGTGGTGCAGAAGGTGTTACAGGTGTTTTGAATTCATGAAATTTGACTTCTTCCATGTAATTTTCAACTGCAAGTCTTATAGCAGCACGATCATTTTCGCAATGTATTCCAATCTATAATATACAAAAAATGTATGATTTAAATTATGACAATTATTAACTGCATACTTTATAAAAAAGTTTGTTCGGCGTACACTTTTTAATTGTTCATCGCTAAGATCTGGAAGTAACGATGGTAAGGAAGCTAAAAATGGTAAACAGTGTAATGCTCCAGCTATTGCAACATGTCGTACTAGTGTAGGTTCTAACATCTCTAATAAACCTTGAGGGCGTGCTTCCATTAGAGATTGATATTGCATCAACCAAAACTGACTTTTTCTTCTAGAATTCTTTAAAAATAAAAGTATAGTTTTATATTGATTGTTAACATAATAGAAGCAGAGTGAAAAGTTATACTTACGCTAATACAGCGTTGCTGTTCTATATTATTGATTGTTTCTAAGAGCTGATCTCTTCTGGTTTTCTGTTGTTCTAACAAACTTACTAGAATAGAGCTCAAGGCCACTCTTTTTTCTGCTATTTCGTTCTATTGCATAAAATTACGAAAGATTTATAGTAAATATTATAAAATATGAATTTAATAATTATTGATAATACATACAAGTTGTTGATTGATTTCTAGTCTCCTTTTCTCTAATTCAATGTTTGTTAGAGCAGCTAATTGTGATTGCACCAAGTTAACTTGTTGCACAATACTCCAACAACGTGTATCACTACGTTCCAATAATGCTGCAACAGCAGCTTTTTGTAAGACTTCATCTTGTCTTAATGTATCAACTAAATTTTGTCTGTTTTTCTCTTGATTTTGTACTATCTGTGCTAAATGATCATTATTTCTTACTTCTCTGAAAATTTTATAATATTTTTAATGTAACAAGTTAAATCTTTAATTTCATGAAATTTGGAAGTATTATTATCAATGATTTACGAACAATGTGAGCAACGATTGTGCAGCATAATCTCTATATTTACTATGTTCTTCCAACTTTCTGGTTCTGTGAAGTTCTTCTTCCAGTAATTTTTCCATTGATACTATGAAAATATACGTAAATATTTAGTTGCATAAATAAGTTGTATTCAGCATTAGAAGTATTTCATACATACAAAGTGTATCTTTGGTACGAAATAAAAATTGTTCAGAATGACAAGAGGACAGTATTTGCATTTCTTCTTGTTTTTCTCGTTCAAGTAATTCAGCTTGAGTTTGTCTTTCTGCTTCGCTATTATTTAAAAATTCTTTAATAACATTATCTGCTTCTTTTTCAGCTGAAAGAAAAATTAAAAAATGAAGCTGTATTAAAGAAGCACTTTTATTATATTTTAAATATACCATTATAAATGTAGGAAAGTAAACGTGCTCTGTTAGAATCCCTTTCTTGCTGAACTTTTTCTAATTCTTGTTCTAATTGTGTTTGCTGTAAAGCAAGATCCTTCAGAAGCTAAAAATAGAAATATTATATGATAAGAAACAATAAATTTAATTTTATTTACAACAATATGTTGAATCTTATGTACCTTTTTCTTGTGTTCTTTTAGCACAGATTGAACTCCAATTTCATATTCTTGTTGTTGTCTAATAGTTTTCTCCACTGCTAGTAATGCGCTTTGTCGATGTTCCTGCAATGATAAACTCATCATTATGTTATGTAACTGCTTAATACAATTAATTCATTTTCTTCTAATGCATTATTGTTATAGGCATATGTATTTTAAAACAATTGAAGCAAAATTAAGCGTTGTTTAAATGTATTAAAATAATATGAATGTGTACAATAAACTGTTTAATTTTTTAACACGCAATAAATTAAAATTGAATCTCACAATAAATAATATTAAATGTGCAGGGAGATAATTTGAAAGCATAATAGAATAAAAAAAGCATCCACATGCCTTCATTTGTTCTAGCTTCTGTAATGCTGCCTAAAAGTGTAAATGAAAACATTTAAGACACACTGTGCAAATACAACATCAAAATTTACAGTCCTGTAAAGTGGGGTAGTACCTGTACATCATTATTTTTATTATGATACATTGTGTGCATATCCTCAGAACTTATATCTCTGGATAATTCTGCTTCTGAAACAGACTCTTCTGGTGAATATTCTGTACCACTCTCGTTTGCTAAAAATGCTATAATTACTATTGTGCCTCCATTTAAAATATCTTTAGGTGGATAAGACAGGTTTAATCCATCAATGTTGAATTCCGTCAACTGTTGTGCATAACCCAATGATTTAGGAAGTTTTTGAAGAGATTTATTTTGGCTTATGTTTAATATAGTTAGAAGTTTCAGTTTACCGATTGCCTCCGGCAATTGTTTCAAATTATTTTTTGCAATATTTAATGTTGTCAATTTACTTAAATGTACTATTTCATTTGGCAGTTTTCTTATATTGTTGTCTTGCAGATAAAGTTCCTAGAGCATGTGCAATAGTACATTATAATTTATTATTTATATATTACATATACGTACATATTTTAATTATATATACCTTGAGTGAAGAAAGACACATTATATCTGGCGGTAAGTTGGTAATTTCATTTCCATGTATATCTAAGACAACAAGTAAAGACAAATCACTTAAGGCACCTCCACCCGAAAGTGAAGTCAATTTATTATTATGCATCCATAGCACTTTTTTTCTGAATACTTTACATAATGAATAAATGCCAGAGGGGACATTCTTTAAAGCGCATTCTGATACATCAAATATTGGTTCTGGATTTTCTCTTGCCTATTGTAATAAAAAAAATGACAATCACACATTTTAATATTAATGTTAATTATGTGCAGAATAGCCGTATCATTGATACATAATTTTCTTATTATTTCTAGATAATAGTTTTACTTTAATTAAAAATCTTGTTATCAGTGAATTCAAAAAGTTAAATCAACAGTAAACGTTTGACAGTTCCTCAAATAGTTTGAAATATAGTAATAAAATAGTATAATGCTGTTATTCTGCTCAGATAAGAGCACGAATGGCAAAAAATTCAAGGTTACTTATAATACAGATGAGCTGAGTGATTAACCTCCATTCATTAAGAAACATACCAGATATAATTTATGTTCGAGCCGTGCTTTATAATCGATGTTAACCTTGTTCCCATGCTTCCTTGGTAAAGACATCATTAGTCGTGTATGTCATGACACCAAAGGAATATTATGAGTGCAGGTCATCCTACCATAGGTTTAAACCAAACCACCATCACGTGATTTCGTGTACTTTGCAAAACACTAACCAATATCTGTCAAATTGACAATCACTTAGCAGAACGTACAGTAGTGTACCTTAACGTTCGATGCCCCGTAGTACTTTGTATTTTTCTTTTGAAGAATATGAGTTTAAAATATTAAATAAAAGATTTGTATTTAATATGAAAACAAAAGAAACAAACGAAAATAACGGAATACATAAAAAACCCTTAATGTAAATAAATATTGTATTATTACACATTAAAAATATTAATTATAAGTATGATACTAAAATATTAAACGTTATTAACAACAGTTTAAGTGTTTTATTAAACCATACATTGCCATACAAAGGAACAATTCATAAACGTCATATAAAATTTCAAATACATGATAATTCTATAGCAATCGGTTCCATCTTTATCTAAAATATTCAGGGTGCCGTTCGACTCTTAAATATTTCAAACTGTGCAATAATTAACAGCAACATCTATCAAGTTCGTATCGTATTGTTTCTTCGTAAGACTAGATTAATTTTTATGGTACTGTAGTAGATTTTGTGTCAGTAAATGGTCTAAAAAATAGGCAGTCAGTATGTAGGTATATGTACGTTCTAAAACTCGGTAGATCTAATTCGGATATTTTGTTCGTTAAGGATGTAAAGTCTTTTCACGTGTCCTATACAACTCGCATCTAGAATCTGAGAATACAATACTGGGCTATATTTTTCTCTACGAGCTCAGATCGCTATTCACATTTGTTATTGAGTACCATTTTCGTTTTGGAACATACTTCGGCGTTACTGGTAAGGTAAACGCATTCATACTATACGAAGTATTTGAATAAATGTAGTATCGGTTTATTACACGAGCACCATGAGGAACTTGTACGAGTAGATGAAGTGATCATCCTATAATTCTGTGGTTTGTTATGAGCCCTGGAATAGTTCTTTCTGCCTTAATCGATATTCTGTCGGTGTAAGCATACCTCTGAAAAATAGAATGACCTTTTTTAATTTAAAATACTGATGTACGTAACACATATAGTTTACGACATTTTACATATCTAAGGTGCATATTTTTTCAATACTACTGCGTCATAAACGAGTGATATCAAAAAATATTTTCGATTAAAAACAAAGATCATATCGTAAATAGCGATGCACTAAACATTTAATGATTAGTATTATTTTTTAAATGGTCTATTTGATTAAGTAAGAGTATTTTTTTTGTTTAAAAAACTTTAAATACTTATTTATCAATTATTAGAAAGTACATTTAGAAGTTTTATTCAATAATATAATCGACAGCTTTTCTGAAAACAAATAAAAAATGTGCCCATAGAAAAAGAAAGTTTCTGTAATTTTAAAATGTTTGAAATATTTTTAGTTGTTAAGATTTATTCTTGGGCGCAAATACCCCTTTTGCCCCACATTTCATTCGACATAGATTTTTAACACTATTAATAATTTTGATATTTTTGTACAGTTGCAACGTAGCTTAATTAAAATAAAATACTCTGCAAGTATATTGAATAAGCGACAAACTTTAATAACAATCGTTTGATTGTACTTTATTCAACATTTTTATTTTTATTTTAAATTTATTTATTAATATCCAAACCTTAGAACAGTGTCAAAAGACACGCAAACTCCTTTATCACACATTTTCCGATAAAGATGCCAACATTCCTTCTCTTTATTGGTTTGAAACTGCGGTTCTGTGGGTGCTAGCTGTACTTGTTGAACGATCTCCTTTGAAGCCGTTGTAAATGTATGTTTCACCTATAACTTTTAATAATCAGTCTACGACAAATTTTGCAAAAAATTTATTTCGTTAGATAAATATTTATCATACATCTCCCGGAGAACTGTTGCCGGAATTTTTCGTACGCTGTGTAAAATTTTCTATTTTCTGCGGAACGATTCTTGGCGATTCTTGTACTTTTATTTTCGGCGACATCATATGTTTCTCCATTTCTCTAAAATAAAATAGAAATATCCATGAAATCCTACTTCTTAAATGAATAAAGATATGGCAAGTAATTTTTACTCGAACTAATCGAAGAAATGATTTGTCATCGTTCGGTGGTTTTCGTAGTCCCTGCCTAAAAAGGATTTCATTTTATGATGATTATTAATGCACTTCTTTCATGATTCGTTCACATCATGAACGAATGTACGATTGTACCATATCATATAAATTTTTGTGCGATCGAAACCGTGCTGTTAAACATACAAAAATTGTTATCGTACCACTGGACGCACAAGCGAGTAGAATCGCGAATAAAGGATTTTTGTCACGCAGAAATATTAAAACGAAAGGCTAAATATTTGTAGGGATTGAAATCGTTTAGAAGATTAAATAACTATAATAATCTCAGATTCTCACATGAACTTATTGAAAAGTTCGAAAGAAAACCTGTGAACAATCAAATCGGTATTCTCTTTAATATGAATATATGTTTCTTTAAACTGACTTTTAAAATTCACAAATTAAATATTAATCGACTTCTACTATAAATATATAAAACTTACAATCTTGTAATTAACTCCTGAAAAATATAAACACAGTATATTCCCTATTTTTGTTTTTAACTTACAAAATCTTGAGTATTTATATATATTATTTCTTCCTTTTATTTCGTTCGTTTTATTTATATTTTCACATTTTAATAAGCGTAACAGCATCGTGCCAGCAATTTTTTAAGGGATACATATATGAACAAGAGGAAAGTGCACGCGATCGAAGAATGAAATAGAAGTAGAATGATTTAGCGTTAAAAGTTAATTCTGCCTAGAATTTGAGTCATCTTTGTAACAGGAAATTGCAGTTACAATGCAGCACAGAATCAATTAAATTTCACTCCAAGTTATTAAACACAGGGTAGCATAATTCTTGGTATTCCATGAGTCATTCTTTAATAAGTTTTTGATGTTCTTATCTGCTTATGAATCACATTGCAAGATTAAAAGGAAACGATTTGGCTACTTGAAAGCATATACCTGTTATGCTGGTCACTTTTGAAGTAAGTAAGAATAGGAAGTGGCTAAATTAATATAATTAAATTCATTTTAATCGTAATTATTGTAGATAGATACATTACTAGCAATTTATTTTCCACTAATATTTTTACCGACCACAAGCTATTTCCCTAATGTTTTACTATTCATCTTCTAGTATATTAATTACTAACGCATTCATTTTAAAAAGATTGTTTTGTTGATTATAAAACTACAATTTATTTAATTTAATTTGTAACAGTCAAATTTAATAAGTAAATATGTTACAAACGATTTTTTTTCATCAAATTATATTTACATAAATTCTTATAAATAAATCACATATTACTATATAAAAATCGTTTGTCATGTCGACCACTATTCTAATGATTTCGATATTTTCCTCGTGTTATTTTTAAATCATAAATTATTAATTTCGTTAGTGACGAAATACTGAAAAATTTAAATTGCAACAATATACTATTTTCCTTATGCAAAATTATTACGAATAAAAATTTAGTGTGACAATGCTTTTTAGACTCATTCTATGTATCGATTCTGTATCGACGAATGGGATAAATTCATGTCTGTTCGAAGAAAACGATAGGATCTCTGCCGGTGCCCCTAAGAATTGTTATAATTCTCATACTCACGATCGTGACGGTGTGCTCCGTGTCTTGAGAAGCTTTCGCTTTTTGTCGTGTAAATTTCCGATAGGCACAGCCAGGCATCTCTTTTCGCGATCAGTCAACGGGACGTCGTGGGCCTCCTCGGCATCGTGAATCAATGCGAGGACAGGCAGGGCCAAGCCGGGGATGTCTGTTCTCCAAGGCAGCGTTTCCTCGGTCGACAGGCCACAGCCGTTTCCACGGTGGTTAACGATCGCGAGCCGGGGCTGTGTTGCTTTTTTCTCCTCCCTCACCTGGGGTTGTTGCTCTTTTGGCGGATCCTCGTCGAATGAGTCCCTCTGAAAGGAAACTATGCCACGAGTACCCTCCATTAACTTCTTGCTTTACGATTTTCTTTCCTGATTGAAGTCCCAAGAAGATACTTATATTATTGATGATTTCTCGAAATTGTTTATTTATTGCGGGGGTAAATTTATTGCAAAGAATTACCTACTATAATCCAATTTTCTTTTTCATTTTGTTGTATGTGAAATATAAGTGTATGTAATGGGGAGTAGCGAACGCTAGTCCTCGGATATGGATTGACAAATGCGTTTGGATTAACCCTTTGCACTAGAGAGGCGACTCACAGTTGGCATTTGGTTTGGTATAGAAAAATTATAAAATTCTATATTTAATATTAAATTTTACATAATATAATTCGACATGAAATATTGAAATAAAATAGTTGTAATCCTTCATTCATATATCATTTCTGTTTTATATCATCAAAAATTTCATTAGAAATTCATTAGAAAATGATGAATATGTCCAGTGGAAAAAGTTTCGAGTGCAAAGGGTTAATAGTTTTGAAATATTTTATAATGTATAAAATGATTTTTAACTTTGAACAGATATTTGTATCTTAGAATGATGTCAGATATTTGTCTTATATCTGTTAAATCCATTTACAGGTTTATTGTTGTAGAGTCTTCATCGCTAGTTTGACACGGCACCGAAGGTAAAGGTTTTCTGAATTTTAATCGTTGTGACTAGTTTTGTAATATTAGAAAATGATTTATTTGTGATTTTATATTAACTTAAATATTTATTTATCCATGAGAATATTTGAATTTTAGTTCACCTGTGAACGACAATTCTCATGTCGATCATCTTATATTTTTTTAGTTCACACTTTTTAGTTTCAATAGATATTGAAGTTGAAAGATTTCCTTCTAATGATGTTTGATTTAGATTAAAAGTAAAAATACTTCATGAACGAAGTAAAATAAATATTATTTAATTAGAAACTTCTTTATAAACTATTTATATATTTACTTAATCAAATCGTTATTATATTTGTTATTGAAAATCATTGAACTAGATGAGAACTTCACTTCTCTATGATAAAGATCAGATACGAGAAGTTACAGTATAATGAATGGCTTATCTATATAGCCCATTTGAAATAAATCACTCTATTGCATTTTTATATCGTACCGTAGGAAATCGATTCACTTGAATCAAGGTAATATCGGTCGTGGAATTTTATAGTCACGATACGTATGTTTACCAAGTAACCTGATTTAGTGGGCCGGCAATCACAACACCGTTTACTGAAAACTGGGCCAAACGATATCCTGTCATCGATTCAGTTTTAAGGGACTAAATGAGCTATTAATATTTTCCAAGAAGCATATATTTTTTTCCCTGTATCTATTTATTGCTACTTGGTATTCGTAATGAGATTC